GTGTTCCCTGGAGGGTCCTGAGCCTAAGGGATTGATCCCCCAGGGGTCGTGGACCTTTGGGATTGGTCCTCCTGGGGATCCCGAGCATTTGGAATAGGCCTCCGTGGGGGTCCTGAGCCTTTGGGACTGATCCCTGGGATGTGCTGAGCCTTTGGGACTGATCCCTGGGGGTTCTGAACTGTTGGGACTGATCCCTGGGGATTCTGAACTGTTGGGATTGATCCCTGGGGGGTCCTGAGCCAATCTCAGCTCCTCCCGAAGCACTGGGGATTCCTCAGGCTCTTATGGTTCAGGAGAATGAGTTGCTTTGTGGCAGTTGTTTCCTTGCTGTAGTTCATGCAGTTAAATTACCCTCTCAGAAATCTATACCCATAGTTTCATAGTTTGGCTGTGCCAAGTGTGAGCTGGAACAGGTGTTGATTGGATACAGCAGTTGTAAGACAGCTAAGCACTCAAATTTGCAGGGAACTGGAGGTATTTTGCATTTTTTGGAGCAAATAGATCCCATTTGGCCTGTGACTTGTCATACCCTGTTGGCATTGGGTGTGTTAATCTGTAATAAAGCAACATATGCATGTGTCAGCCTCTCATTCCCTCTGGGACTACCCTAAACCATAGGTATGTTGCAAAAGCACAGCCTCAATTTCCCAATGGAAACTTAGTAATCCTTTTTTTTATTATTATTTTTTCACAGAGTTAACATTTAAGTCTTTGTTTTGGGAGACTTAATTCCTCCTGAGGCCAAACTTTGCTTCTGAGTCCTTGTACTCTGCTTTTCATTCACTGGTTTTAATGAGAAAAGGCCAAGTGAGTCACTTCAATGCAAACACAGAGCTGTGCAGTCATTATAGTCATTAATGAGTCTTAATGCTTTAAAGCTTCCTGCATGTTTTTCTCTTCATTGGGTTTAAATTAACAGTTACCTTCCAAATAACCTAACTGGGGTTTGGTTCAGCTTGAGAAAGACAGTGTAGTTCTCCAGGACATCTTAGTCAGGTGAGCTGTGGGGATGACCTGTGTGAGGGACACCTCCTTATCCATCCCCTCTCCATCCATCCCCAAGAGCATTTCCTGTGTGTCAGTGACAATTCCTCTCCTAGGAGACCTCTTCGTGCTGAGTGCCCTTGTGGTTTTATAGTAAGGATTGAGCATCCAGCAGGGAAAAGGATCAGGAGACAGTCTGGATGTTTCCTGTGATCCCTTCCAGTTGCACCTTTGTCATGCTGCAAGTGCAGTTCAGTCAGGACCAGGGACTGGATGTGCTGACAGCAGTTGTGGTGCTGCAGGGCTGGAATTAGGGATCACACTGCTCCCCTGTCCCTTTGGAGGCCTCTCTAGACCTTTCTCTCTGTCCTTTTCCCTGCCATGCTCAGCTCTAGTTCCTCTTATTTTTCACAACAGGGATAATGTGGAATGGTCAGAAGAGCAGGAAGCCAGTGCCAGGAGTAAAGTTCAAGAGAACAGCTCACAGCTATTGCCACCAGATAAACAAGGTACTTCTGGAGAGTCTCCTCATGCTTCCACAGGAGTGGAACAGCCTGGCCAGAGCCACATCAGCATCACTAATCCCTCCCTTCCCCTCTCCCAGTCACTCAGAATCCATTGCCTAGTGTTGATCATGGGAAATGGAGGAGTTTGTTCTGATTTCTGTTTCTATTCTTAATTTACCTCTGTGTGATTCTTCCACCTTCTCCAGAGGCTCATCCTGCTGGAACAGACATGATTTTGCCTGGGAGGAGTCATCCTGGGTTGAGCTGCTTTGTTATGTTGTGTACATTTAAATACTTGTCAGTGTTCCTTGTCCACAAACTTTCATTGTAGTGGTGTTGCCTCCACCTGCTTTTGCTCTCTAAAGCTTATCTTCAGCAGTCAACCTGGTTTTGCTTTCATGCTGTGGAGTGGTCCCTAATTCAGGCTCAGCTTTTCCCACAGACCTTCTGATAAAGTAGTGTCATGTCTGTGTCTACAGAGATAGAACAGACAGTGATTGAACCAAAGGAAAGTTATTTTATCCTGATGGAAATGTTTGTCATCATAAAGACAGAAAAGGGATTCCAGAATGTTTATTTCGCTTGGTTTAAGGATATTTACACATCCCAAATATCCATCCAGAGCTGACCTGTCTCTGGATCAAGCTGCACAGAGCAAGTCCTGTGGCTGAAGCTGCTCTGGTTAATGCTGCACTTCCCCCTCACCTGTCAGAGACCATCCAGTCCCTCCAAGGATGCTGAAATGGTTCTTGGGTGTGATAAGAAACTTACCTGAGTCCCCTGCTGAGCCCTAGGATGGATCTGCTCCCTTTGTTCAAGTGAAATGGAGTGTGTGACCCATCAGAGGATGCTGAGCACTACTGCAGCTATTGAGACACTTCCCTATAGCTCCCAGTTGTGCTCACAATAGCACATTTAATTACTCCAAAAGAGCAACCCTCCTCATTTCTTGGACTCCCAGAAGCATCCAGCAGTTCCCATTGTGCTGCCCATTGTGTGGAGTTCATTTCCAAATCTGGTTAGCATTAAAGGGTGCTGCCTGTCAGCTCTGAGAACCTATATGCAGCTAGGAAATTGTGGAGCAATCTGCTGTCAGAGCAGTTTGTCAGGGCTCCATGATGTATTTCCCAGACTGAACAATGGAGCCCAGTCAAATGGTGATGCTTGCTATTCACTGGGAAGCGTGTGGAGACAATGGGATGGCTGAAGAGGAGGGGAGGCAGCCCAGGCAAACATGCCTGAAGGCTCTGGGAGTTGGAGAATCAGAGTGTCCAAGCAGGAGAACAAAGACAGGCTATTGGTCATTATGGCTGTGTTATTCTGTGGACTTCTTAGGGCTGTCAGGATTGGTTCTGAAGGAGGAGAGGAGTTGTGTGGGGTGTGTGGAAGATGTGTCTCCTGGCTGGGAACAAAGGAAGGAGCAGAAGAGTTTCTTGGTTTGCTTTTGAGGCTCCATAATTAGCCCCCATGCAATTCCGAGGGGCCCTGGGTCTCTTCCTGTCTTCTGTCAGCAGTTTCTTTGGCTTGCCCTTCTTCTCCTGCAGTGTGGAGGGTGAGTGTGGGCTTGGCTTTGAGGGTGTCCTTGCACAGAGGAGCAGAGAAGTCAGGAGGCCTTATCAGGAAAGGCTCTGGAGGAAAGTCACTCACACAGCAATGTCCCTGTGAGCTGAGACCACAGAAAGGACCTTGAAGCAAGTGTGATGTGAACTTTTCTGGCAGGAGCTCAGACAGAAACATTCATATGGTCATTTTTCTGCTTTCACTCTGTGTCTTGCATGATGCTTGTCAGGTGGGCCTTGATTTCTGGTGTGGATATTGTTACTGGTCCTTTGCTCTGGGGCTTTGGAAACACTCTGAGGTGAATGAGTAAAGGTTCCTCGTGTGTGGATTGGAGTGTAGCAGCTGTGGAATAGCATCCAACAGAACTTCACCAGTATTTAACATAAGATGAGCACCTTCTGCTCTAGTATCAGACATTAAAATTTCTCTTGGCTTGGGCTGTAAGGCCAAGGCCTCTTAAAAGGAGAAAATCCTTGTGGTTGAGGTAAAGAGATTATTTTTATATATAGCTCTTTGTGCTGCAGGGATAGATCCTGCTAAAAATAGAGACATGACTGACTTCTGCTTCTTTGGTAAAGCCATTTCTGTCTCTGTTTGGCTGAGGCTCCATGTTTTTCTAGGTGTTCACTTTGCTGTGTCCTTTCAGGTACCTTCTGAACAGTTTTATGCTTTTCAGAAAGACAAATAAACTCCAGCTAATAATACACATCTCCAACATGTTTTATTCAGTGTTGCAGAGAGCAAAGTGCTGGGTCTGGCCTGCAGCAGGACCTGTGGGAAAGGTGCTGTCACCTGGGAGCTTGTGCAAGTGCTGACTGAGCTTTCTCCAGGCCTGCAGAGTTTTCTGTTTCTCCACGTGGCAGAAGGAGCAGAGTGTTGGACAGGAGCTCCTCAGCTCTCACAGAATTCCTTAGGAGTTTGAAGTGCTTGACCCAAGGTTAGGAAGCTCCAAGTGAATTGTTCCAGTGAGCTGAACGAGTTAGTTTCGAGATGGAAGTAAAAACCTGGACTTCTTCATTCCAATCTCCTTCAAAGAGGCTTTTCCCATTGCCAACTTCCTTTAAATCCTACCAGGACACAGAGAGTTCCTTCTTCTCTCCCTTTTCCCTCTCCATTCCTAGCAAAGTGGTTTGCTAGCAAAGAGTGTTTCTGGGGGATTGCAGATGTCAATAAAGGTGATTTTTGGTCAATAATCTTAGCTATCAGAGCTGATTGCTGCAGTGATCCCTCACTGTCTGAACTGCTTACACCTGAGACCTTCTGGATTGATGCCTGGGGATGTTTTTGCTTGTGTTCACAGAGGAATATGAGGTGAATGCCAAGAGGTACTGGGATGACTTCTATAAAATCCATGAAAATGGTTTCTTCAAGGACAGGCATTGGCTGTTCACTGAATTCCCTGAGCTGGCTCCTCACAGGAACTCGAGGCAAAATGGGGATTCTCTGCATGAGAACAAAGAAGAATGCAAGCAGGAAGGGCTGGGAAGCTGTGAAAATGGACATTGCTCCGTGGAAACCAGGGCAGAGAGCCAGTTAAAGGTGGTCAGAGGCAGAGCTGAGGGCTGCACAGGGGAGCTGCCTGCACACCAGCACCGTGAGCTGAGTCCCAGGGAGGGAGATTTCCCAGGAGCAGCTGCATCCTACCGTGTGTTGGAGGTGAGAGCTGTAATCTGAGTCACATCCAGCCATCCCTGGTGTCAGTGTGGCTGGGACAGGAACCTGTGTGCCACTGGCAAACAGCAGGGGAGAGCTGATGGCTGCAGTCAGCCAACTGCAAAGCTCAGAGCTTGGAGCTGAATCCCTTTGGTTTCTCTTGGAAAGAAGGAGTTGTTTTCACTCTGTGCTTCTGCTTTGTTTGTGCAGGTTGGCTGTGGTGCTGGGAATACTGTCTTCCCAATCCTACAAACCAACAAGTAAGTAGTGCCAGGGAGTGGCTGCAAAGTGACATGGGGTTAGATGGGATATGGGGAAGGAATTGTTCCCTGGGAGGTGCTGAGGCTCTGGCACAGGTTGCCAAGGGAAGCTGTGGCTGCTCCATCCCTAGGAGTGTTCCAGGCCAGGTTGGATGAGGCGGGAGCAGCCTGGGCTGGTGGGAGGTGGCCCTGCCAATGGCAAGGGGGGGAATGAGATGATCTCTAAGCTCCTTCCAACCCTAACCATTCTGGGATTCTGTGGAGTCATTCTCAGGAGGTTTTACTTGCATGATCCAAGAGCCTCTGCAAAACCATTGCACTAGTGTTTCTTGTGTTCCTAGGTTAGACAGTCTCAGAGAAAAGGCAAAGGCAACAGCTCCTCTGCCACCTGCAGCTTCAGGTTGCCTTTTGAGCTTGCAATGATTTGGTCTTAGAATGCAACCAACAAAACATGATGCAAGTTTACATGTCTTCTGCTGAAAACCCTTCTGGACAGGCCTCAGTGCCTCTCCTTTTCTGGAAGGGAAGGGAAGCAGCCAGTTCCATATGAGAAAGAACAACAGGCCCAAAGGAGCAATGGGATCCACCAGGTTTTGCACAGGATTTCTGGCTCCACTCTGTGCATTTGAACCACTCCTTAATTCCTTGCTAGAAATGATGAGTTTCTTTGATCTCTTGCAGTGACCCAGGTCTGTTTGTTTACTGCTGTGATTTCTCCACAGCAGCTGTGGATCTTGTCCAGGTAAGCTCAGTGGGGACTGAGGGAGGTGGGAAGTACCCAGGGCCAATTGCCCATGGACACACACACACACATCCCATGCCACAGCTCTCTGGCTGTGCTGGCAGCTTGCTGGGTTTGCCAGCCCTGATGCTGACCTGGTAAATCAGGAAAAAGAGCCATCAAAGACTGCAGGAATGAGGGAAGTTGAGCTCTCAAAATGTCACATTGGCAGCAGATTTTTCCCCCCCTGTGCTTGGCAGTAGTTTTTTCAATCCAGTGCTCTTTTAGCTGAGTAACTTCTAAACCTTGAAGACATTCAGGCTACTTTTTAACAGGAACTGAAGCTGTTTGGGGTTTGTGTGTGTGTGTGTGTGTGTGTTACTGGCACTGCACTTCTGGGAACGTGGTCTGGTTGTTTCTGCACCCGCAGCTGAGGAGGTTTGTGCAGCAGGAGGTTGGGATTAGTCAGAGGACAAATGCTGCTGACAGATTTCAGGTCAGAGCAGAACTGAGAATACAATGCAGTCAGAGCTGAGAGAGGAGCACAGCATCCATGTCATCCTCTTAAAGGTGACACAGGCACTGTTTGTGGAGGCTCCTGCAATCCATGCAGCAGCTCCAGAAGAACACACACCTTCTAAACCAAGTCTAGATGTGGTTTTTAAGAGGCAGCCAGGTTTAATTTGGGGGTGCAGGTGAGATGAATCTGGGTGTCAGTGATGCAGAGAGGGGCCCTGATGCTCTCCCTTATGTAAAGACTTCCAATTTGGCAACGTAAATCCCTCACTTGTTAGCACTGTTAGTGGAAAATCTGACCTTAAATTGCCACAAAGCCTGAATCCAGTTTGGGACTTTGGCAGTGCTCATTGTCTGACTGTAACAAGACCAAAGCTCTTGGTAAATCTCCTGTGGGTCACATTTCACCCCTACTATTCCTCACCTGACCAGAGAAGCTCCTTGACCCCATGTGCAGACCATACTGAGATCAGGGACTGCTGCTAACACTGCTCATTTCTGTCCCCTCCAACACAGAGCAATGCAGAATACGATTCCTCTCGCTGCTTTGCCTTCGTCCACGACCTGTGCAATGACCAAAGTCCTTTCCCAATGCCAGAGGAGAGTCTTGATGTTGTTGTTCTTATCTTTGTCCTCTCAGCCATTCTCCCAGACAAGTAAGTTTTAATAATCCCTTCTGGTTGCAGAAGCTAATGCAGCTACAACTGGAGCTCTTGGGTAGTCTCCTAGCAAGGAGCAGTGAAGTTTGCTCTGTGTCTGGTCCAGTTTTCCATGAAGCCTCTGCAAATGGAGTTTGCAGGTCCTTTGCAGATTCCTGGGGTCCTTTGTGTTGTACCCAGCCCTGGCAGAGGACAGGGGGATGCTGAAGGGCTGAGTGGCTGCAGGTGATGCCTTGCTGTGCTCACCTGTTCTGAGCCTCAGCCACACTCAGCACTCAGCACCTGTTTGGGAAAGTTTCTGCTCCATTTTCAGGCTCAAAGTGGGGATGAATTTCTCACATGGGAGGTGGCAGGAAGGGAGGGGACAGCTTCAGAAGACAAGTGCTGTGATCTGAGTGTGACAGCTGTTACAGCCTCCCTTAGTGTCTTTTTTTTGTTCCCTTCAGTTGTGTTTCACAGCATTTTTCTTCACGCTCCCTTATGGTTTTCCAGAAACCATTGGAGATCCTCTTGTAATCAGTAAGGAGAGCAGTTAATCCCTGCTGTGACAGGCTGTCATCCTTGAAAAAAAAAGCAGAATCAGGGAGTGTCAGAGCTAAACCAGCCAAATAAAACCAACCCACCTGACTGATAGAGCTCGCTGCAGCTCAGGGGGAAGTCAAAGCACAGATACCCATACACAGAGTTTATACCTCCTGTTTGGGTGGAAACAAGCCTTTTGCAGGCTGCTGGACACTCCTGCTCTGTCCCTGCCCAGGATGCAGTGTGCTGTGAGCAGACTGAGTCGCCTGCTGAAGCCAGGGGGAGTGATGCTCCTACGAGACTACGGCAGATATGACCTGGCACAGCTTCGCTTCAAGAGAGGTATCTCCTCCTCCCCTGGGCACTGCTGCAGGTCACCAGCAGATGATGCCTCTCTGTTTGGAGCAGCTCATTAGCTCCCTGTGCTGGAGAAGAGCCTGCTGGTGGCTGGCAGTTGATTTTTACAAGATTAAATGGTAGTTGGTGACTGTTTAAATCTCTTTTGTCCTCAGGCCAATGTCTGTCTGATAACTTCTATGTGAGAGGTGATGGCACCAGAGTCTACTTCTTCACACAAGGTAGGAAGCTAGAAACATCCCTCTGCCCCTCCAACACATCCCTCTGCCCCTCCAACACATCCCTCTGCCCATCCAACACATCCCTCTGCCCATCCAGCACATCCCTCTGCCTCCCCAAACACATCCCTCTGACACTCCTCACCACTTCTTGTCCCTGTTCCCTCAAGTTTGGCCCCACTATCTTTCCAGCCCTTCTTCGAGCAGTGTGAAGTGTTAAGTGTCTCCTAATTGCACAGGATTTTTTTTTCCTTAGTGGAAAATCCTTTTGGAGAGAGACTGCTGTGTTTGCTGCCCTGGCAGGGGTGGGAGTGGAGGAGCTCTCTGCTGGTGATGGAGAGAGATGGACACCACTTGGAGGAACTTCCCTCAACTTTCTTCCTCTCCTATGAGGAAATCCAAGGGTGTGGCTCAGCATGGAGCTGAGGCAGCCTCTCCACTCCTGCTGCTGCTTGGTGTTAGCAGGGGATTTGTCACTCTCCCAGTTTATCACCAGTTGCACCTCCAGTCCCTCTACCTTGGGCCCCTCTGCATGGTCAGCTGAGAGCAGTGGCAGAACTGCATGGAGCTGTTCCTTTCCCCAGTGCACAAATCTTATTTGTCACAACAAAATTCATGTCTAGTGCATGTTTGGCAAACACTCCAGGATGGAATCATCTGATAAAGGAGCACAAGCTGGGACCTGCCAGCCCTTTCCTACAGAAACTCCACACACACCACATGCTCCCAGGCTGCCAGGGAGCAAACTCTGCTGCTCAGCAGGACTCAGGCTGGCTTTGCCCAGGGCCTGTGTGCTGGGGCATGGTGAGACTTCTTTGCTGGGTCAGGAATAACCTGCCCCTGGAAGTGTTGGAGCCTGAGGGTTCCCAGTGCTTTGATTGGGCCCCAACAGGGTGTGGTTTTGAAGGATTTTTTTTTTTCCCCAAACTTAACCTTAATGAATCCCATTCCCCCCCAGCCTCTACAGCACAGATCTTACTGCCACCATTTAAAAGCTTAGGTCTGGTGCTGTTCTTTGCTCCTGGAAACTCTGAAATTCCTCTAGAGGGGGGAAAGGGAAGGAATGGACCTGTCCCTACTTGCCACAAGATGCTCAGTTCCTAGAGGCAATACCTATGTCTGAAACTGCTGCTATTCTCTTTGTCAAGTCTCTGCAATGCTAGTTGTCCTCCAAATAATTCTTTCCTTCCCTGCTAGGAGGGAACTCATCAAGGAACTGTGATGTTAGAACCCCTAGCACAGCAGTTAAGTCCTGTGGGATCACTCCCCTGCCAGGCAAGGCCGTGACTTTCCTCTGGCCCTTCTGTCAGCTTAGCCCTCAGTGTGAGCAGGTGTCACTTGAATGAAAGCTATGGCTCCTCAGTCCCCTCCTCTCTGCTTCCAGATGAACTGGATCATCTCTTCACCACAGCTGGGCTGGAGAAGATCCAGAACCTGGTTGACCGTCGCCTGCAGGTGAACCGCGGGAAGCAGGTGACGATGTATCGGGTGTGGATCCAGTGCAAGTACCGCAGACCTCTCACCCCTCAGCACTGACCCACGGGGCTGACCTGGGGCTGGAGCCTCCCCATGGCCATGCACAGCCTGTCTCCTCCTGGTGGGATGTGGTCTGAAGGAGCTCTGCACACCCAGGAGCTCAGTGCCTTGCACAGTGCCTGACAGCGAGTGAGTTTTGCTAAGGATGAACACCCTAAGGGCAGACCAAGATGTGGCCATAAGATGTGACCATTTTAGGTGTCTTGCTGCTGGTCTGAGTCTTGTTTTTAATTATTTATGGTTTTAACAACTTAAGAACTGGTCATGGTGTCCTGCAGCAGCTGAGCAAGTCGAGCAGTGAGTCGTTCATCCTCTGCATTTCCACAGGAAGCAGAAGATCTTCAGCCTTACCTCTCCATGTCTACTTATGTCTTGGAAACAGAAGCCACACAAAGGATAAATCTCTTCTCTGCCACTGGTCACTGATAGGAATCCCTTGGCCAGCTCATCTCATGCAACTCTCTTCTAGTCATTCAGCTTTGTGCCAATCCACGAGTTAAAATACATCAGTGGAGAGCAGGAACTGAGACCATGTGAGTTCCTCTGTGCCAATTCCCCCTGGATGCCTCAAGGTGTGCAGATAACCTGGGAAGAAAGCAGATGCTGCTGCCTTGCCCTCACTGTCCCCAGGGCTGTCCATCCAGGGAACCAGCACATTATAGCTCAGGTGCCATAAATTCCTCTTGGGTTCAGGTTTTCAAAGATTTGGGGCTAGTGCCAGTTTTGAGGCACCTCCAGAGTGCAGAGGATCCAAAGCAACTCATGGGACCAGGGTTTATAACTTAATTACCTGCTTTTTCTGCTGGCTACAGCCCCCAGGTCACAAACTGCCCTGTCACAGTGATGTGCTAAACCCAGGCAGACAAGACAGCTGTCTTTGATCTGAAATGTGCAGCAGAATTTCTCCCACTCCTTATGTCTCAGAGGAAGCCAACACTGTGGCTTTCTGAAGGTATTTCCCCACCTTTGACAGCCAATATCTTTTATCTCAGCTTGTTTCCCATTGTTGTTTTCAGGGTGTGGTACAACAGGGATTAGAATAAATTTTGTGCTCATGCTTTTCAGTGCTGGTTTGGGTCATATAAATCAGCCTGCACAGAACATCACATGCTTCTGCACACCTGATCTGAAGGATTTGGGCCACTGTTAGGTAACTACAGTTTACTTTTTTTGTGCTGTTATGGGTCTCACAAGTGCCTGCCCTCACCATTGAAAGCCTTGGTTGGTATCTCCTGCCTTTAGCTCATGGAGCAGCAAGGTCTGTTGTGTGAGCACCAGTGGCTGAAGAGCAGTTCCTGTGTGTTTTGTTAGCTGACACTTGTGTTTGTAGCTTGCAGTTGCCCAAGAGCAACTGTCAGCTCTAGAGACACATGTAGGTTATGAAATAACTGCTGTCCTGGGCCAGAGGAGAAAGGGTGAAAAGCTGAGGAAGTGTCATTGCTGCCTTTGGAGTGTCTGCAGCAGCCCTGGAGAGATGGACCAGGAACATCCTGATGTGGGAAGCGTTGGAAGGGGATGGGGCAATGCTCTGCTGGTTCCTAACTGCCACATCACTCTGTCACCCTGCAGGTATTGCTTTGTCTGCTGCCCAGGCTGGGACATTGCAGCCTTTCCTGAGAAAGGTGGCCCAGGGAATCCACTCCCAGCACACAGTGCTGGGCTGGGAATGGGAATGCACCATTGCCTTTTTGTATGTATCTGTCTCTCTTAAGTACTGTTGAAAGGGAATCACATAACTGGGCAGAGAATTCTTGTTCTGTTTGTTGTACTCTATTTTCCAAAGGGCCAAGAGCCTTTTCAACGTCTGGGGATGGAACAGAAGGGGGTAAAGCTTCTCTTTTCCAAAACACATTTTCCTTCTGCCTGGCACGAGCCTGACCCACCCCAGAAATTAGACAGTTGCTCCTGTGTTTTTCTGCTAAACCTACAAAGTTCCCTGGCAAGGCTGAGGCCTCAGGCAAGGACTAGGCAAAACACACCTCAAGGCCTGTGGCAGCAGCTGAGCAAGGTCCTGTCTCCTCAGCCTACCCAGGCCAGAGTCAGGCTGAGTCCTGGGAGTGTGGGATGTGATGTGACTCGTGTAAGCAGCTCTGTCACTGCCCCTGACAGACCCCTGTGTGTTCCTGGCCCTTAGGCAGCTCCCTGGGGTCCTTTCCCTCTTGGGCCCTGGGGGAAAACCTCCTCCCAGGATAGCTTTATCTCCCTGGAAGAAAAATTATTGGCTGGGGTAAACAAGCAGCATAATTAGTGTGAATTAGAGTCATTTGGAAAATGCCTTATTAATCATCCAAAGGCTTGTAAGCAGTGCTGGGAAATATGGGTCTAATTAGAAACAGGATTTATGGAAAGTGGATGGACTTCCCTTTAAATTTCAGCTCCTGAACGGGAGAATATGAAGGCTAGTCTTTTATTTGTCTCCATTTTCCAGGCTCCATCCCAGTTGCCTGCCTGGTTTTGACTTAAGGCTTTGTGCAAAAACTTGCAGCCCTGTGAGCCTGGAGCCATTGAAGTGGCTCTTGGCCTGTCTTCATGCTCTTCACTCTGCTGGAGTGTTTGAGCAATCACTCAGCAGGGCCCATGCTGGGCAGACATGCTTTTGTTTCCAGTCCTCTTGATGCTGTTCAGAAAGCAACAAGTTAATGGCCCTGAGCTGCTGCACTCAGACCCTGTCTGAGCTGCTGGATTAATCCCTGCCAGCTCCTGCTCTCTGCTCTGCTGCCCCTCCAGGCCCTGCCTCCCACACAGCTCTGCTCAGGTGCTTCAGTCCTGACTTGCAGCAGCTCCTGCCATCCCCACCTTGGGCCTGCTGAGCAGGCTGAGTTGCACAACACTTTTAGCATGTTCAAGGAAAACCACATTGGCTTTTACCATGCTGAAAAGCCACATGAAGTGCCTTGAGTTGGTCCCTTTCATTCCTCTCTTCCTTTTTAGCACAGTGATGTTAACTTTAAACCCTTTCGGAGCATATCTGCTCTGGGTTGTCCCCAGCATTCCACTCTTGTGGTCTGTGGCTCCCAGGCAGTGCCAACGTGGCTGGTTGAACCTCCCAAGCAAGCAGAGATGATTTCAGAGCTCCTCAGGCTCTCCCCTGGCCATTTTGCAGCCAGGCATTGTTGCATGTCAGAAATTCTGGGCCTGGCCCTTGCCAGAGGATGGTGGATTTCCTTGGAGGTTCAGAGATTTGTTTTGGCTGGGAGGGAAGTTTATCATCATCAATTCTGACCCTTTCATGTAAGGATTATGGCATCAAGCCTGGGACTTGGACTTGAGCTGAGGCAGAAGCAGCCCTTGGACCAGGGCACACACTCCCTTGGGTCAGGACATGGCTCTGAGGTTGCACTTGGCCCTCTGAGTGCAGAGGCTGAGTGACCTGGATGCTTTCCTACTGGGTTTGAGTATCAGAGCCTCCCTAATGGGCTACCTGAAGGTGTAGACAGAGGGAGGGGCAGGAACAAGCTCTGAGATAAACCCCATTGTGTGGGAGGGTGGAGGCTCTCGGAATGGCCCCAGGAGGGAATCAGGTGATGGCATGTTATCCTTGAGGAGCTGAGATGCCAATTTTCTCCCTAATGAAAATGAGGACAGACCCTTTTAACGTTCCTAGTGTGGCAGGAGCCTTCCTAGACCAGAATCTACACAAGGGTGAGATGCTTTGAAGGCCCCAAGTCTAGAAAAAACCTCCTTTTCCACTCGTGCCTCGTTAGGTCCAACAGAATCTCACACAAGGGTGAGATGCTTTGAAGGCTCCAAGTCTAGAAAAATCCTCCTTTTCCATTCGTGCCTCGTTAGGTCCAACAGAATCTGCTCTGCAGACAAGGGTTGGCCTCTTGTGGATGTGATGCCTGGAGGTGAGATCATCCCTCAGTGCTAAAACCTGTTGAGTGCTCAACTCTTGTTGTGGTTTTTGGTTGAGTTTTTTTCCCCTAGATGCTGTAAAATGGATATGAGCTCACTGATGCCAACTTTTAATGTTCCTAGTGTGGCAGGAGCCCTACCCTTCCTGGACAAGAATCCACACAAGGGGGGAGATGTTTTGCATGCCCCAAGTCTAGAAAAATCCTCACCTGCAACTCATGTCATTAGGTACAGAGATGAGGTACAGAAACTGCTCAGGTGATTTGTTGCTTTTCTCAGGTCCTCAATTATCAGTGTCCTGATGCAGTGAGGAATCTCAGCTCTCTTTTCTGTGTTACCTTCCACCAGTAGATTTCTAGACCTTCTGGCAGCACAGAAACACTTGGGAAAATGCAGTTAGAGTATTCCACAAACCTGGAAAGCAGAGGGAGAGTCACTGGAAGCACATTAAAAGGATGAAGATTTTGACTGGTGTCGCTTTATCCATTCAGAATTCAAGGCAGGAGGAAGTTGTTAGATGCTCTGTTAAAATGCCTCTAAAATCGTAGTAAATTTTGGCCAAATCTGCAGTGGGTTAAGAGGGGATCTCCTCTTGGAGATCCAAATAGTCTCTTCTCTTGCTGGGCTAGAAAGATACAGAAACTGTTCCCAAACTGAAATACTTTGTGGAAAATCAAGTGGAGACCAACAGAATCTTGTTTTCCTAACCTTATTTTACTTTTGATGCTCTGTAGGCTTTTAGAAGTCACATCTTAAAAGCTGATATTAAGAGTTTTTAATTGACTCCAAAAATCTTCCTGTACAAAGTGATGAACTATTTACATGTTCCAGCCCCTTTGAAGTAGCAAACCTTTCCCTGTGAAAACAGGAGCTCACAAACAGACCTTTCCTTGCCAGAAGCACATTCCAAGTTGGCTGTTCTTATTTAGAAAACAGAATTAACCCCCCCCAAACAACAGTCCAGTGCTGCTTTGCTGAGTCCACCCCTTGGCATCTTGGAAACTGCAGCTGGAAGTGTTCTCTGAGCTGCTCTTTGGAGGCTGAAGGTGGAGAGGAGCACAGCAGAGGAGCAGGGAAGGTTGTGGCCAAGGAAAGGGATTGTGAGCACTCCCAGCTTGCTGGACATCCATGAGCAGAGCTGAGCC